GAAGGCGGGCCCATGAAGGGTGACAACGAATGACCGGACCATTAAAGCCTCGTTTCCAGAGATTATGCCCAAATGAGACTTGAAATAAATCAAGTACTGAATCGGCGAACTCTTCCCCTCAAACGGTGTGAAGTTAATCAGATTGAACTTCGTCGGGTACGGTATTGAATCCCATTCCCTTGGATAGGGACATGGAATACCCGTCTTCTTAACTTCTTGAGCTGTGATCAAAGCGTTGATTTTGTTTTCAAGCTCTTTCATTTTCCCTTTATCGTCTATGTCTTCGTTCGAAGGACGTTGAAGAGAATGAGTTAGACCACCCCCTGCGAGAGGTGCTATTAAACCACCCCCAATATCGTTATTGGGAGGATGTGTTAATCCACCCCCAGCGTTATTTCTATTGGGAGGTGTATCAGCCATAATGACTTTATCCACTTCTGGATCACTATCATCTACAACATTCTGAGTGTGGCGACTGGATTCAGCTCGCTGACTGGACTCAGGAGGTTGAGGCCATTGAGTTAGCAATTCTCTCATTTGTTGGATAGCTAACTCCATCTCTGTCTTCATCTCAGCTCTAATTTCTTCACGTTGCTTCGATAGAGCTTCTTGAAGCATTTGAGCAAATTGATCAGAAGTGATTGTGAACACTTCTTTGGTTTGTCCCGTGCTAGACATTGTATCATCAGAGGCAATGGCTGAACAAGTGTCTGAGAATTAATCCTCCGAGGACATTCCTTCTTGCATTCTTTTGTAGTCTCTGCGTCTGATGGCTCCTAATTGGAGTCGAGACATCATTTGAGCAATTCTTGGATTGACTTTCCCTCTTGGAGAAAAGTCGGGATTTGAGTCACTTGAATGCCGTTTAGACTTTCTTTTATCAGCCACGTTGATGGTGACTTCAGGGAATTCATCATCTTGGGCAGCTGATTTTCTCTTGCGGAAATGTCTCGGCTTAGGCTTCGACAATACCGAGACTCTTCGTGGGAAGGCTTCTCGTTTGAAACAGTCACATTCTGATAATGCTGCTTCAACGAGTCGCGCACAGGAACAACGAGAGTTTATCTCTCGAATAACTCTCTTTCGAAAATTATTCACAACCCCAACTTGATAATACGATTCATCGGTATGATTGACAAAAAATCGTATTGTCTGTTGGCATGACCTCCCAGGTATGACGATATCATTTGGTGAATGCGTCTTCTTCTGGGGGTGTAAAACCTTGTTGGCATTCTCAGAACAAATTATTGTTGCCTTTGAGCGATCCAAGGTTATGTCAGGAGTCGCACGTCTAAAACCACCCCCTTGCGGGTACGGAGTCTTAACGGGCTCTGAATGCTGATTTTGCATAAGTTTTGGAATCCAAACTTGGCGGAGTTTCGGTGGTCCTTTGGTCACCGTTTCCTTCCTCCTTTCTCGTCTTTGTTGTGAGAGAGCACGGGCATGAGCAGCGTTTGCACGACGTTTTTGTATACGTTCTTTGAGGGTCGAGCGAGCCCTCTTGACAAAAGTCCATTCAACCGTCGTTATTTTAACAGAGATACGAGTGATTGGTTGTTGAGACAACTGAACCACTCGATGTCTCCTCGACTCTAGGTCCGCGTGATAACGAACCCCGTCGGTTTGTTCCAAGGCCTTAGCCATTTGGCGAGCGTGGCGCTGGCGCTGTCTCTGACGAGCTCTTTTCGTCAATGCCGGCGGGCTTTGATTCGATGATTCTTTAACTAGATAAGAGCCATTGTGAGCAGAGGTGTTGCGAGTAAAATCCTCAGCAACAATCAAGCGAGAGTCTTCATTTTGTGCCTTCTTTGGCATGTAAGTCTTCCTCAATTGTGAGATCCTCTTGTACTTGCGAGACAATGAAGATCTTGAAGAGGATTGCGTCAAAAGTTGACTTTGTCATGGAATTCATTATATCTTCGGTCGATTACAATAAATTCAAAAGAAATAGTCTTTTTATAAGACTTCTCTTACACAACAAAAGGAAAAATTATAACTCTTGAGAAACAAACGCAGGATCGTTGTTTGGATCGCTGCTTGCGTGGGATCTTTGCCTGTGCCGGGAGCGTTAGCCCGTGGACCACCGATTCACAGATTCTGATTGAATCGTGAAGGTTTAGGGATTCTTTCTTCGTTTGTCGAAGTAAGAATTTAAAGCGAATATCTTATCGATGTAAGATGTTCACTCTTCCAAAGATCAAGTCAGAGCTTAGATCTCTAGGAATCGCCAAAAGCTTCTTGAGAATATTTGTGAAGAAGGAAGACTCTCTCTCTTGGCGGCAGTGTAAGCTGCCGCGGCCAAAGAGGCAGTTACTAGCACGTTCCATCGTGCCTAAAACCGTTCTCCCACGACCTTTAACCACCTTTTTCGTGGTTTAACTGCTTGTCCACGTCAGCACACGTTCTATTTTTGATATATCGCCACGTGGGCCTCAAAACTCATCGTATAACTGCCTTGTAACCGCCACAGCACTCCTCTATAATAGCCGCGACACCCTAAGCTGTCGCGCCTAAGCCGCGACACCTTAAGCTGTCGCGCCAAAGCCGCGACACCCTAGGCTGTAGCGCCTAAGCCGCGGCGTCATAGGCTGCCGCGCCTTAGCCGCGGCACCATGTCCTGCCGCGCCGCAGTGTGTTGCCTGATGACGTGTATATTGTTCTTCTATGTTGTCTTGAGTGGTATTTGGATGTCTGTAAGTATTTTTTTGACGCCTACACCCTCCTATCCTCTAGAAGAAGATTTACAAAATTTTACACATCTCTCACCCACACTCTCTACCGCTATTTATAGATTTCGTAAACCAATATGAGCCATTAGATCAAACTTGCTCCCCTAATAACACAATTCCAGGATTTGATCTATTTTTCTTGTCTGTTGGTTGAGAATCGATACTGGTCGATACTAGTATCAATAGTACTATGGATACTGCTATAGATAGTAGTATAGGTACCCAACTATCTCCTATTGTGATTTTTTATGAAATTCTCTTGGGCTCTATAGAGTTAGGCTTCTATTAGCTCCTTTGGGCTTCAATTGGAGATCTTTTGGGTTTGAGATGATCTTCATTTAAGCTCCTTCTGATCATTTTTCCTAAGCTTCTTTTGATCATTTTTCCTACAAAACAAGATAAAAATATAATATTAACCATTTATTTACATGAAGGTTATTTGAAATAAGGGTACAAAAATACAATAAAATATGATAATCAATTTGCCATCAGGTCGAAAAAATGAAAATGGACAGGAATAATGAATTATAGCTTATGAAATTGTGGATTTTGAACTCCGCACAATTATTTTCCATTAGGTCAAAATATTAAAAAAATAAAAATTTGTGAGTTATATCTCATAAAAATTGTGAATTTTGAACTGCATTTAATTATTTCCTATTTGGTCGATTTGAACGAAAATGGACAAAATTCATGGGATATGGCCCATGAAATCGTGTATTTCGCACCCCCTGTAATTAATTCCCATTAGGTTGAAATGAATAAAAATGAATGAAAATCATGTACTTTGGCTCTTGAAATTATGATACGCAAGTTAGTGGGTCAAATGATCATAAATAAAAAAAATCATGGATTATAGCCCTTGAAATCATGAATTTTGGCTCCGGAAAACTATTTATCAATAGGTCAAAATGAGTGGAAATGAACAACAATTATTGATAATAATACATGAAATCATGAGTTTTGAACTCTACATAATTATTTTCTATTTTTTTAAACAAACAAATTTAAACAAAAATCATGTGTGTTCATGAAAATCATGAATTTTAAACTTTGTTTAATTATTAATTGGTATTTGGTTGAAATGTACAAAAATAAAAAAAAGGCATATCTTATAGCTCATAAAATAGTTACTTTTTGCACTGTGAATATTTATTTATCATTTGTTCAAAACTAACAAAAATGGGGAAAAAAAGTTGTGGGTTATCTCTCTCATGAAATTGTGAATATTGAAGTTCGCAAAATTATTGTCGTTGGGTTGAAACGAACGAAAATAGACATAACAATGAATTGTTGCTCAAGAAATCATAAATTTTTAACCAAGCATAATTATTTGTCATTTTATCAGGATGAACAAAAATGAATAATAAAGTGGGTAATAGCTCATAAACACGTGAATTTTGTACTTGGCATAATTATTTGTCATTTGATTGAATGGAACCAAATTGAGTTATAGTCATCTATTTTATTTCTTAGATTGTTATAGGATGAACAGAAATGAAAAATTAGTGCATAGTAACTCATGAAATTGTGAATATTTAACTTTGTATAATTATTTGTCATTTGATCGAATCGAAGAAAATTGAACAAAATCAAGGGTTATAACTTATAGTTCACGAATTCATGAATTTTAAATTCAGTAAATAATTTTTCCATTGGGTTAAAATGAGTAAAAATTGATGAAAATCACGGATTATAGTTCATGAAATCGTGAACTTTGAACTTCATAAATTATTTGTCATTGAGTAGAATCGAGAAAAAGTGGACAAAAAACATGTGTTATAGCTCATGAACTAGTGGATTTTAAACGCTGCATAATAATATGACATTTGGTCAAAATGAAAAAAAGGGACAAATATCATGTGTTATAGCTCATAAAGTCATGAAAATTGAAGTAAGCATATCAAATGTTATAACTTATGAAACCATGAAATTTGAACTACGCATAACTATTTATCATTTGATCAAAACAAACAAAAATAAGTAAAAATCATAAGTTATATCTCATAAAATTATGAATTCTCAACTCCGCAAAATCCTTATTTATTGAATTGGAACAACCAAAAATGTATGACAATCATCCAAAATCCAACATTAAAGTAGGACCTCTGCTTGGGTTATATATGTTATTGACTTTTGGATGACTGGAACGTCTAGCAAGAAGCGAAGATAGGGAGCAAAATCCAAAAGAACAAGCAAAGATTTCCCAACTAAAATTTCATACTGTCGTTTTGATATATCATGAAACAGATTCTCAATCACCAGTGTACATATCATGAAACAGATTCTCAGTCACCATTATCAACCAGAAGGGCCCACAAAAACAAGGTAATAAAAGTTTCTAGCAAAAGCAACAATACAAATCGATAAACAAAGAAATTTTATAAAATTTCCCGAGTCCAGATACACACCTTTATTTCCACAGAGCTTGCAAGAACACAAACATCCTGAAACTTTTTACGCAGCCACCCACTTGACCAAGTGCACATTATTGCCATGAAATTACAGTTACTTATCTGTTGGTTAACACATGAAGGGAACAGGGCCTTTCATATTCACGATAATGTACGATCTGAATTGCAAGAATTACATTACTTTCTTTTTGAGATTCTAGCCCTTCTCATCCGCTGAGTCTACACTCGTTTACCCAATGCTGGGTCGACAATCACTTGAGGACTAAACCCTGGTTTCAAATATTGAGATAATAACTTAGAATACATATCATAGCGAGCAGTCATTCTGAAACCCCATTTGTCCTTTAACTGCCTACAGAGGTTAAGATCCATGTCAGAAACAAGCAAGCCGTCTCTGTAGCGAGATAAAGATGGGGTGCAAGATGCATCCGGGGCCGAGATATGGCTTGATCCATAAAAGTGACCAAAATCTGGATGCTGGGGCTTCCCATCACCAGAAGTAAAAGGATTTGGGAAGACCTCTGTACCAACTCGATTGATTGATCCCACAAAATAACTGTTTGATATGGCAGCATTACGAGCCTGAAACATCATCAACGCTTGAAAAATGAGTACAAGCTTCAAGAAACCAGTGGTCAACAAACTTCCCAATGAACGAACAAAAGACAGAAGCATAAAGCTATAATGAAAAGGTTGTTTGTGCAGTTAAAGATAGTTTGCAAAAAGGTATACATTAATTAAAATCATAACTGTCATTGGGTCGAAGCGAATGGAAATGGAAAAGATCATGGATTAGCCCATGAAAATTACGAATTTTAATGTAATATGACTTAAAGCAATGAAAATCGTGAATTTTGAAGTAGTCACGCTTATTTGTCATTGGGTCGAAAAAGACAATTAGTGAAGAAAAATTGTAGATTATAACTCATGACATTTGGAAATTTTGAGAACTACACATACTTGCTTCCCCTGTGGTTGAAATTAATGAAAATGAGCAAAAAATCATGGATTATAACCCATGAAAATTTGAATTTTGAAGTAATGTCCATTAAATTGAAATGAACGAAAATGAAAAAATTGTGGGCCATAGCTAATGAAAATTGCAAAGTTTAAAGTATGCATACTTGATATTGGTTCAAAATGAAAAATATGGACAATCTGAATAAATGGGTAACCAAGAAAGAGAAATATCCTATATTTAGATTTGGTTGAACTGTAGACCCCTTGAAGCATGCAATAAATGTACATGTACTTGTTATTCCTTCTAAAATGTAATATTCAAATTTTCATTAAAGAGAGATCTTCTAGCTTGCATCAATCCGAATCAATGGGAAAGCAGAAAAAGCTCTGCCAACAATGAGCCGAACTTTGCACTTCCAAACACAACATATTTTTGCCGCTAGAACCCTCATACCAACTTTATGTGGGAATGAGCATTCCCAATGAGATGGTAGGGAATAGGCATTCCCACTTAAGTGAGAATAATAATTTTAAAATAAATTCCAAATATGCCTTAACTGCTTATTAGTTACCCATGCCAAAATAAAAAGATTGTCACTCCCACTTCATTCTCTGTTCGCACCCAAACATGAGAATGAGAATGAGTACTCTATTCCCACACTTATTCTATTCCATTCCTTATGTCATTCCACTCTCATCGACTTGATTCTTGCATACCAACAAGGCATAAGACTTTTCATCTCTAATGTGTGTGATATGTTGTGGAGAATAAGGCTCCGTGAAAGATTTGGAGGCAGATGTCAACCCTGTCAATTGGTGTAAAATTTCCCGACAAAGAAATTATAGACTAGTGAAGAACTTGACAAACCCCTAGAAAGCCACTTAGCAAATGAAACACCTTACCCTATTGCTGAGGCAGTTTGGGTCCATGCATTAAGGAGCAACCCTCCAAAGTTCTCCCTCCAAATTCTTCTAGACTTAAGAGCCCAGAAGAATCGGAAAGAAAACTGATATGTACCAAAGAAGACATTCTCAGGTCCAAGATTACATCATTAACATAAATTCATATCAATTTAATTCAAACATTTATAAAATTGCATACTAACTTTTTTAGAATTTAGATTACCTAGTTGTGAATCACTATATTCACAAAGGTTATTCATAAAAAGGCAGAAGGGAATTGTTAACACATCGATCTTTTGAAAGGATAAGCAGTGAAGATGAAACCCATTAAGCAATCCTATTGCAAACGAATTACTTTTGTTTCAAATGTACCCAACGTATGTACTCTCTGATAAAATATGTTACTAAATAACAACTATATGTAAATTTAAGTTTGATATAATAGATAAAAGGTAAACTAAGCATGTCAAAAAACACATCTCTAACATGAACAGCTTCGCGATAGAGGTGCTCATGCTACACAATTTTTTGTTATTTCCTCAAATTTACTAAATAAGGTCGCATGTCAATTTCCTACTTAAGAAAACTATAATTTTGATTTCTTTATTAGGTGGATTTTACAGTGAAGGAATGGAACATAACAAAATTGGCATCAAAATTGATTTATGCCCACATGTAGAGTAGTTTTGAAAGATTGCACTGCATATGTGATATATTGTCATCATTGGTAGATATTCGATAATTGAATGCCATCATAGGTGGATGAAAATATGAGACAATATCCTTCATAGAGGTAGACCTCACTAGTTGAAATCCAATCAAACATAAATGCCTAATTTGTGATGAGATAACAAACAGGGGTATCTTGCGGGCAAAGGAGCATCTTATTCCTACTAAAAGAATAAGGGAGAATGTTTTCTATTTATTAGAGTCCTAAATATGTAGTTGAGAAGCCTAGACGGTATCAAGAAAAGTGAGGAAATATTAAATGAGTCTACAAGGGTTACGGTATTCGTACTAGATCTGTGTGTTTGTAACGTTTCTAGTCAACTTCGCTTACAAACGCTAGGGAGAAATTATACAAGGAAGAAAGTATGATCCTTCAAACAAAAGCAAACATATATGAACAGTGCTAACTCACAAGGGGAAATCATACAAAAAGAAGATAGACAGTGTCTTTTTTAGGTGTATCTCTGTGATTTTGTGGTGGTTGATACTGTGGGCAAAAGCTGATAACATGAAACATACCTCAATTGGCCACATTGGTTCACTCAGTTCTCCTACTGTTGCAGAGGGATTGAAAACAATCTCAGCTCCATTGAGTCCAAATGCTAACCAGTTTAAAGGATGATGTCTTCCATAACAAATATTTACTCCAATCTTTCCGAAAGTGGTTTCAAAGACTGGATGCCCAGTGTTCCCTTCCATATAGTATGTGCTTTCATTAAAATCCCCAACTCTTGGAATATGATTCTGAAATAAACTCATGAGTAAGTAGATATGAGTGAACAAAAAGGTGATACAACACTGAGAAGCCAACTACAATGAAAAATCTAATTTACGGTTTACCTTTCGATGGATGCCAATTATATTTCCATGATTCCCTATAATTACAGCAGTGTTCCATATAGTTTCTCCATGGTTCAAGTCCCTTTCTAGAATTGGACTCACAATAACCATGTTATACTTTTGAGCAAGCTCCTGAAGAAATTGAATCGTCTCTCCATCAACAGGTTCAGCAAATTCACACCATCTTTTCTCTCGGGTACAAAAGGCAAATGGCATCATCCACGCCTCCTGCAGTACATTATGTAGTTTAAGCCTAGCAGATAATATATCACAGGTCCAAGTCTTAAAATAGAACTCACCTGCAAGCACAGGATATTGACTCTAGCTGCACCAGCTGCTTCAATCATGGGTCTCACTTTCTCCATGATGGCCCTCTTCTGGTCCAAAAAGAGTGCAGAAGTTGGAAGAGCAATTGAGTTCTGAATAAGACCAACACGAACAACTCGTGGTTGCCGCAATGACTCCTCCTCAGCATTGAAGGAAAAGGCCTGTGAAATACATATACATCAAGTTAATTATAAAATCTAAACAATAACAAATTTTTACGGATAATGTTGTTGGCCTTCTTGTTTTGATGATAATTTAACAATCAATTTACATCTAATATTGTTTGTCCAGTGTTTGTATTTTGTTATTTATTGTAGACAAACAATAAGTTGGAGGATGGATGGAATAGAGCTTCAACGATCATATCCAATGGAGGTTGGTGGAATAGTGGAGTGAAGCAATGTACATTCAAGTTCAAGCTTCTTCCGCAAGTGTACCAAGTCAAGCTTATTGAAGATCAAGATCAAGCTTGGGTAATTTAGTTTAGGTTTATATATTATGTGTGTTGGTACTCTAAGCTCAATCATATACACACATACACGTATTTGGTTATATATATATATACATGTTTGTTTTCATATGGTTAAGTTGTTTTGGTTTAGGTATGTAGATATGAAACAATATATATCTTCATATACACTTTTGTTTGTTTCATATTCTATTGTATTTAGAAAAATATTGTGTTTATGGATTAAAGACTTGTTCACACTATTTTCATATCTCGTATAATGTCTACAAATCCATTCTAAAGTGTTTCCAAGTTGTTTGAACTCGTTTTTGGAAAAATCAAGTTTTTTTGTTCATGTATGTGCATGTGTCCGTGCATGTTTTTACAAAACTGATGTGTTTTCACAATTGGGAAATGCGATTTGAAAAACTTCTTCGTTTACATGTTTATCTTCATATATACAAACATGTCCCCAACTTTTACTAATTTTGGAGTTGTTTTGTTATTTTCAATTGAATTTACAAAACCGAGTTTTCAGTAGTTTTTTCAGAAACTGTATATCTGTGTTCAAACATTTATTTCTCTCAACTGGAAAGTGATATTTCAGAAATTCTTTCTCTAACATGTTTATCTACATGTCTAGAACCTTCCCTCAAAATTTCATGATTTTTAGAGTTGATTTACTATTTTTAATTGATTTTACAAAGTCAGATACGCAAAATTCCAGCATCTGTCAAAATCTGGAAAAGTGTGGTCGACCGCCACGGTCGATCGTGCTACAGTGCGGTCGACCGCCACGGTCGACCGTCAGCCGTCCAGAGACCAGTTTTGTAATTTTTCTTCTCGCGGTCGACCGCCACGGTCGACCGCCGATGTTACCGTTGCACAGTAACGATAACTTGCTGAATTTTATCTTTTAGTGATTTTTAGGGTTGTTTTCTTCTACCCTATATATACCCCATTGTATTTATCATTTGATACACCAAGAGAATATTTTAAAAGAGTTTAACAAGGGTTTAAACTTGTTTAATGTTTGTTTAAAAGAGTGTTTAAGAAGCTTTTAAGCAATTGAGAGTTTTGGGTTTGTGAAATTAATTTCACAAGAGCTTGAGGAGAACCTATTGGTGCTTGAGCTTCCAACCATCTTCCCTCAATCTCTTAATCCATTGAGAAGTTTTCTAAACTCTATTTCTAGCTTTATATCTATTTGTTTGTTTATCATTTTATTAAAGCTAGTTTTATATTGAGTTTAGATTTGATTTACCTCATTGTTACACACACCCACTTGAGCTTTTAGTATTTATACACATAGTATATTGGGGTTGTGAGAGATTGTAACAATTGAGTTATGTTTAATTGAGTTCTCATTCATATTAGAGAACATTTTATTGTAGTTACATTGTGAGTGTTGTAAAGTTTTCGGTGAGCTAGAAAATCGAGTGTGAGGTATAGACATTGATCGGTGAGCGTTGAAAACCGACATTATAAGAGTGTGAATTGTAAAGTTTTTGGTGAACTAGAAAACCGAGTGTGAGGTATGGACGTTGATCGGTGAGCGTTGAAAACCGACATTGTGAGGTGTAAACGTTATTCGGGTGAGCGTAGAAAACTCGATTGTGATAGTGGATTTCTCCCCGGAAGTGGGGAGCGGAGACGTAGGACGGAAGGTCCGAACTCCGTGATCATTTGAGTGTGTTTGAGTTTGTCTTTAACGTATTTGCTTATGCATTTATCTTATATCGTCAATTGCCTATTACTCTTGTATATTTTGCCCTATCATATTTATAGTTTGATTATATCACCCTTGTATTAGTTTATATATCCTTACATATATTTTTATCATATAGGATACATCTCATTGTTCATATTGCTTATCCCAGCTCATATATCTTGTTGTATTTCATACTTGCTAGGATAACTTGTTAATTAACTTTAATTGACATTTAATCAGGATTAGATTAGCATAAGACCCTAATCACCCCCCTCCTAGGGTCTAACAATTGGTATCAGAGCTTGGTGTTCTTTGATTTAAGATCTAATTACCTTGAGTTAAAGATCCAAATTATCTTTTTGTGCTAATCTTATTTTGATTGTATTTGTATCTTGCTTGCATATTTTTACAAATTATGGATATGAATGATGCATCTTGTTTAGGCTATGATTCTAGTATTGCTCCTAAATTCAATGTTTTCCCTTATGCTCAATGGTGTTTTAGATTCAAAATATTTGTTCAATCTAAAAATATCAATTTATGGGAAATCATTGATTGTGCTTATATTGTGCCCACGAAATCCAAGTGGAATAAAAATAATAAAAGATTATTTATTATGAACAAGCTCTTGTTGGAATTCTTACATAATACATTTGATTCATCTTTGTCTAACAAGTTTGTTCATTTTGATAATGCTTACACCTTATGGAAATTTATTGAAGCACATCAATGGGACTTGGAGGTGATCCGACAAGCTTTGGAGGATCCGACTTCAAGCTCGTATGGAGCATCATGTACACAGCCACTAGGCGATAGCCCTAGTGAGGTTTGCGAGTTCGAAACCACTAATGATTTATCTAGTGATGAACTTATTTGTGCTAGTAAAAAATTATTGCATGCCTATAACAAATTGTATAAAGATTTTATTGATTTACAAAGCAAGCATGAAGATTTGAAATCCGATCATAAGTTGTTAGCATCTAAGTTTGAAACTATTTCAAATAAAAATATGATCCTTAAAGAAAATAATGAAAAATTAAAATTAGATCATGTTTCTTTAACTTCAAATGTTGCTAGTTTAACTCATGAAAAAGATAATGCCATGTTAAAAATAGAGAACATAAAAAATGATATTGCTTCTTTTATAAATAATTAGTTATGTTCTACTTCTAAAGTTAATGCTAATATGCCTAATGATAAGTTGAACAATGTTAAAAACCGTATTGTTAATGCTAATATGCCTAATGATAAGTTGAACAATGTTAAAAACCGTATTTCTTCTTTAGATTCAACTCTTAATACATGCATTAACAACCCGTATTTCTTCTTTAGATTCAACTCTTAATACATGCATTAACAACCATAAGAAGCTTGTGAATATGTGTCAAGTCTAAGTCAAAATCATCCACTCATCATGCACACATATATAGCAAAGTCTACAAATACACAATTTGCGGTCGTAAAGGCCATCTTGCTAGATTTTGCTATGTTGCACACAAACATAACAATGCTAATGCTCATTGTGCATCTCATGTAGCTTCTTCATCACATACACATGCATATGCTTATCATACACATCATAAACATGCTAATGTGTTCAAATGTGATCTTTGTGGACGTTTTAGCCATTTGGCAAAATTTTGTTGTGATTTGAAAAAGACTTCACTTTTGCCAAATGATTTTAAAAGACCATAAAAGTTTAAGTGTGATCATTGTGGTAGATTTGATCATTTGATCAAGTTTTGTTTTGATTTGAAGAGAGTTTCCCATTTGCAAAATAATTTTTAAAAACAATCTATTTTTGCAAATGAGACCCGTGCACAACCGTTTGGTCAACATAAGCCTATGTTGCCTAGGTACGGGTACGGGTACGGGACACGGTAAATTTGTAAAAAGTAAGGTACGGGGACAATATATATATATATATATATATAAAATATAAAATAATTCACTTTAGATTAATATTGAATTAAGTACCTATTATATTTCCATATTTTTTGTTATGTAAAGTGGATGGGACTTGCTGCAAAAAAATAATTAAATACCTATTATAATATAAATACCTATTATATTGAATTAATAACATATTTGTATTTGTTAAGGGGCTTGCTGCAAAAAAAGAATCGACGAGGGGTCTATGGAAATATTAGCACATACTATATAAAGGAGAAAAAAGAAGATCAAGACCAGCCCTAATTCTTCCGCCGCCCTTTATCTCCTCTTCGTTCTCTCCAGCCCTAATTCTTCCGTCGCCTTTATCTCCTCTTCGTTCTCCCCAGCCCTAATTCTTCCACCGCCTTTATCTCCTCTTCGTTCTCTTTCGAGAAAAAAACGCATGATGACTGGAAGAGGGCGCATGAAATCAGCCCCAACTTTCGTCGTCGAGGGAAAAAGAGAAAAAGGAGAGGCGTTGATCCTGGCGTCGAAGAAAAAGGAGAAACAACAAAAACAAAACCCTAAAAATCAAACCTGTCTTCGAGCAGAGGCGCTGATTCATCGTCGAGGAGCTGATTTCGTCGTCGAGGCGCTGCAATTGACCCGACGCCTTGAGATCTAGAATCCGTCGTCGCTTCCGTTGATGGGTTCTAAGGTTCGTAACTTTTTTTTTCAAGTTTGTAACTTTTTTCCCTCACTCTTGTGAAATCGCCGTGTCCCTGCCGTTTGGGTGCGGATCCGCACCCAAAACGTACCCGACACGGGTACGGGACTTGGTTTGCCGTGTCGGGATAACATAGACATAAGCAAATGTTTCATTTTCATTGTACTTATTGTAATCGGAAGGGTCATTTGAGTAATTTTTGCTTTGACCGTGTTAGTGCACCACATGTGCCTAAGAGGGTTCATAACCCTAGGGCTTTGAGCTTAAATGATAGGGGTCATGTCCCTAACCAATCCGGTACCAAGAATGCTTGGGTGCCAAAATAATTTTTCTTAAACCAAGAATTTTAGTGTTTTTATTTTTACTTTTTCTTGGTTTTGAAAATTATACTTTAAATTTTTTA